CATTGACTTCGTGTTAAAACACTGCTAATTTCCTGGCTCCCCGGGCCACCGTATAGCGGGACATTAGTAGTTGTTGACCAATAAACACTATTCAGTTCGGATTTACAGTATTTGCTGGTCTCAACTCTACTTGTTCCTAAATTCCTATTTTCAACTATATTCACCAACTGCAGTGAAATTGGACCTCTTTACATGACCTACAGCTTTACATTCAAATTCGATCATGATGTGCGTACGTCGGGGCGAGGAACACTAGGGAGGGAAAGACCAGGGTCAGGTCTTAAGACCTGAAACAGTGAATTGTTTTGTAACAGTGCCACGGAACTAATTCTACTTATTTTAAAAAGGGCATCTGGGTATCCCCTGGTCACCTTCCTTCACCAGAGGTGCACGGCAAATCGGAGCCGCACGATGTTCACAAAGTGATGTACATGTCCAAATGTTGTTGCCTTTATTTGAACAGTTACTGCGTTTATACCTCCCTACACATGCATGCACTTACATTTCCGCGTACCTATAAAAATACCCGTCAGAACACTGCATATCACAGTAAGCAAGGTTTAAAAATACAATGATAGAGCTTCTGAAGACTTCTACAGATCCACAAATCTCAAAGGGAGTTGATCAGTTGCAAAATGCGTGGAACAGGCCTCTTGTCAATTCCACCACCCCCTGGGAACAACACGTTGTTTAATAATTAACAATTAATGAATGAGGCTGGGTATCTTAGGAATGGACCATTAGAAAAATTATGGGGGGGGGAACTTTCCAGCTGCAGGAATTTTTTTATGCCATAGCATGAAAATTTTTTAGGGTTAGTTGGCGTGCATGAATTTTTTTTCTTTTAATTTTCCCTTGCGCGAATCTTTTTTTTGTACTTCGTCCCCCTCCCTCCCCACCGATAAGTTTTCTAATGGTCCGTCCCTTATGAAGAATTATGGAGATCGAGGAGGGCGTTATCCGTCGAGGCCGTAGGCCAAGGCGGATAACACCCTCCGAGATCTCCATAATTCTTCATATGACACGAAAGCCGAATTCAAGAATTGTTTTATTATTCATTCAAAATAATTCCTAGTTTAAAAATATAGCTAAAACATGTTTACCTCCATCGATGTTAATAAGTTCATCTTCGATAGTGGACGTTTAGGGTTGTTCAGCTCCGCAAATATTCTCCAAATAGCACATGTCGCCCTTCCAGTTGTCTTCTTGCTGTTCTTGCCATGTTTTTAGCTATTATTTCGTCCAGTTCTTACTCCTGAAACGAGTGAAATGTCCGCCGTTTTTGTTTTTACAACCAAAACAACTAAACCTCGTCCCCAGGTCTTCTCGGTTAACGATGCATTAACCTGCAAGGAAGCTGCACTATTGACGTCATCGGTTGATTAATGGCAAAATTCTTCTCAATTTGGTCATCAGTAGGTGGTTATGGTGAATTATGCGTGTGCTTTTAGCCAATCAGAATCGGGGAATTTTTTTTAAATAAATAATAAATGTGTGTTAAATCCCCGCATTGGCCGCGGTTTCAATTGACTGATGCATAATAATTACAGCCTTCAAATAATTCAATTGTATGATTGATACGCGATCTTTCCACGTCAAATGAAATCGCATCGAGTTGATTTATTTACCAAGTTTGCAAACTTATAGTTTTTTCATATCTCTCGATCTTCTAACGTTGACGGTGCAAGCCGTCGACAGACCCTTGGTGTCTCCTTTTTTCTTCGGAGTAGCTGCCATCGACTGCTTCGATCATCCTGATCGTGGTTCGTCTTGATAATGCAAAATTTCAGTGACTAAGACTCCCCAATCATCTTCAGGATCTTGGCCTATTTCGGTACTTTCCTTAGCGTGAGTTAAATCACTTAATTCTGAGTCAATTGACATTTTTAGGCCTAAAAACAAACAGGGAAAATAGACCTTTTTACCGCTACGGCGGCCATATTGAATAAGTTAGATTTAAGGAGTATTATGGGATGCGGGGGGGGGAGGGGAATGAGCACATTCCGTTTAGTATTCACGAGCGCCTTTTGGGACATTTTTTCTTAAAATTTTCTCAGAACAATATTACAATGAGAAAAAGATCGTTGTGCCGTCTTTGGATGTAATAATGATCGCCTTTTTCCCCAGTAATATAAAGTGAAAGTCTAAAAGACCATATTTCTAATACTAAGCGTGTACAACGGATCGTGCTCATGCCCCCTGGGCATCCCATAATACTCCTTAAATCGGATTAATTCAATATGGCCGCCTTATCGGTAAAAAGGTCTATTAGATCGAAAGCGTCGGCACAAGGTAAGCAAATCAACTGACGTCATCAGCCTGGCTCGGACTAGGCTTTGGTAGATTGTGCTCGAAAAAAAGCATATTATGCTTTTAGCAGCACTCATATTTTGTAGAAATTATGCCAAAATTATGCTACTTTCTGTAAATTATGCTCTCTGTCACCGAAATTATGCTACTTAGATTTTACACTGATTTTAAGGAAAATAAAGATCATCAGTACCTTAGCTCCATCAATTTTGAGCGTTCATTTAGTCCACCTTCCAGTCTTACAGTCTTTAGCGTGGCCAATCCGCCTGTACGTACATGATCTCGCTTTGTTGTAACTTTTAACTTCTCTTTGCCTGAGGCATGTTTTTTAGAAACCAATGGTTTTTGAGAATGCTCTTTTTAGCGGGGCTCCCGCGCGCGCGAAGCGCGCGTGGGACAGAGCCCCATACCCATGGAATATGGTCAACCTCTTTTCGTTTGGTTGTCACGTGATTGACCGAGCGTACGTACGTACGTACGTACGTACGCGTCTACAGATTGTATGGGTGGGGTAGGGGAGACTATCAAAAGGAAGGGAGGGGTGTCTCAGGCGTGTCTTGGCAAGCCCACATCTTTAATATAGGACATTAACAATATGGTCAATTGACAGCTGTCCAAACAGGATAGCCACTGACCAGTATCCCATGACCATATCGCGGGCTCATGTGTCAACTCATCGAGGTGACGTGATTTATTTGGAAGCTGTCCGCTGACCAGTTAACTGTTTTACTAGATCGCGAACAACGTTCAATCTCATTCTTTTACTAGTTTGGGAGCACAGGAAAACTGATAATGCACACATATTGGACATCAATGTTTTGATCAATTGACAGCTGTCAAAACAGAGTACCCGCTGACCAGTATCACTTGACCGTATCGCGGGCTCAGGTGTCGACCCGTCGAGGTCAAGTATTTTTTGAAGTTATCCGCTGACAAGTAAACTAGTTTTCAAGTGATCGCAGGCTCAAGTTCAATTTTTTTTCTTAATTCATATGAAATATGTTGTGTTTATGTGCTGCACAATTAAAATTTTGATTGCAAACTGACCTCGGACGTGAAAATTCAGCCAGCTGTTACAGGCAGGGAAGACAGTTGCTTTTGTTTTTTCTCACAATGGTCACGCGTTAGTCACGCTCTACGTCCAATTTTTATGCTCTGATTGGTCAAAATTTGACATGTGAGTTCATGCGCAAAATTTATGCAGCATCTTGAATCTTGTTTACTTTAACAGCTGAAGCTGACAGAGTTTTGTGTCAACTTGTGATGTTTTTAACTGTCTTTTTCCACTGGATGTACAAAATGAAATTCAGCTGCTATCAGGAGTCTTCTGTTACTCATGGCTAGTTTGTTTATTGGGTTTTGGTTGAGAAAACGTCGCTTGTCAAAGTCGGAAATCCGATTTCGGATGGCATCGTTTTCGTTTTCACCTTGCTTGATGCGTAAGAGGATTGCAAAGTCTGAAGCGATACTGGCTTTACCTGATAACTTTCAGGAGCTGCATCTCGAATGGTAAGCCAGAGAAATTATTGTATTTCATGTTTGTTTTTGTATCTAATTTAATGAAGTGGAGCGTAGTTTATGCGGGAATTTAGTTTATGCGCGTTTGTAAGTTTTGAGACAACGATCTCACCGAGTATCTGGTTTGATATAATCTTACAGAACTTTAAAAAGCCTTTAGACAGTTTCTCACCGCAAATAGAAAGAAAATGTTCCAAAGAATCTTTAGTTATAATTCTAGCCGGAAAAGAAAGCTTTGAGCGATTTTCTTGCCTCGAGTTCGTCTTTGAAAAAACAAACACCGGGAAGCTGGCTTAAAACATAAACTTCAGCAAACTTAAGCTTGAAGCTTGAAGACTCAGGATATTTAGGGACACTTTAATACTTGTCTTCCTGAATGAAAATTGTTGTCTCTGTTTATGTTTCACCGAATTATATTTCTTTTATTGATTGTTGGTAGTCTCTCTTGCAATTTTAATCGCTATGCCGATTGTTTTCAGTCGTTCAGTGAACATCGCTTGCAGGAGTTCTCAAAATGCCGCGCGTTAAACTATCAAATAAAAATAAACATGATAAATTCTTTATTATCTTGGAGCGTAACTCTGTTAATGTTCATTCAAACACTCGCTACAGCTCGCACTACAAAAGTGAGAACCGGATGGCCGTATAGGTGACTTTGGAAAATTTTTTTAACAGTTTATGAATATTGAATGAGAGCAATTTGTATTGTGAAATACTGCTTTCTGTCCATGGTATAAAAGGTTGGTTTACACGCACCCAGATTTGTTGGCAAGATTTTGCAAAAGTAAACTTGTCGAACGCCAAAACGTTGGCCTGATTTTTTTTTTTCTAAGCCTAATTGATCTACGGTGATCAATAGCCATTACGGCTCTTAAATGTGATAAAAGATGATTACCAGTTTTTGAGTGTACATATGAGGCTATCAACTCGATGTAAGATTTGGTTCACTCTTGGGCTGTTTGCAAATTATTTTTCTCTAAAATCAGGTAGCCTTTCCCTCAAAAGTCACATAAATGTGCTCTAAAGTTAACTGAATTGTGGAATTCGAATACAAGTTTATTGTTTAATTTAAATTATAAATTTACTAATGGGAGCCTCGCTTTTAGCCCTGGCTAAATCTATATATTAGAGCTCAATATCTCCTTACACCCATTGCAAAACAGTTTTCCACCTCAAAGACACAAATTTTCCCCTGGGAATTCTTCGATTCGATCACGAGGACTCATGTTCTTTGGATCTGAGTTACCTCTTTCCTTGTACTTTCCGGTATTACTTTTAGGAACACGTTCTCTAGAGATTAAAGCTCTCGGTTGGGCAGTCTTACACTAAGTAGTACCCTGGAAGTGGATGTACTCGAGGACGACGCCATCTGAGCGGCCGAGCCGCCGAACCATAAGCGTGGTGGCCTGAGTCTCAGTCTTATGCACAGGGTGACCTCTGCCGCCTGCCGGACCATATTTGACCATGGGCCTTAGCACAGACCTCAATATTTACCAAAAACAATACAGAAATAAAATACAAACTGAATTATTCTAGAGCTATAATGGGTTTTTCTGGTTTCAACGCATAAAAGCTCGGATTATGCCAGCAGTGCTAAACTGAAATAAAAGCTTAAAATAATGCTCGTTTTGCTGAATTATGCTTAAAATTATGCTAGCAAAATCTACCAAAGCCTAGCTCGGACCGCACAACTCGTTCCCAGTCTCTCGGACATTTCTACAAGGAAAAATGCAGTTTTTCGATGGCCAAAATTGAGTGATTTTTATGGAGGACACATGTTTGAACTACACATCTTAAAGAACCAAAAACAGTGGAAAAAAAATTCGTGTCATATACACTACTATAAAGATTAACCTTATTCGTCCACAAGTAGCCCAAGCTCACTAATTAATTATTCATACGGTAACAACTATAAGGCGTTGTATGGGAATTATCCTATTTCTCCATAATTGACCAAAACGTGCTTTAAATTTTTCCTTTTAAGATTGCATTTAGTATTTTATTATGTTTATTTGTGTGTTGACTGCGTTTCAGGCCTCCTAGGATGCCGAATACCCGAGAACAACACTACCCTTCTAGGCTAATTAACTATTCATAGAGCAAGAAAAATATAAGGCGCTGTATGAGAAATATTCTTTGCTCACTAAATTAATAAAATGTGCATTGAATATCGGCTTTGAAGCTTACCTTTAGCCTTTTCTCGTTTTTCTTTGCGTTCTGACTGCATTTCAGACCTCCCAGGCACTGTTTAATACCTTTTTTTGAGCGACAGTTGTTCAACCAGATGACTGTCATCTGGGTGGATAATGTTGCTCAGGACTATCATAAGGTGAGCTTGGACTACCTGTGATTCGTCTAATAACATTTCTATTTTTGGACTAAATTAACGTAAATCTTTATAATTTCAGTTGGTGAGCAATAGCGGTTTATGAAAAACTTTTCCAGTTTAATCTTTTTTCTTTTTCTAGAAAACTTTTTCCTTTTCGCAGAAAAAACTTGTCAAAGGAAACTTCCTCGTGCAAAATTTTAATGTGGCGTAACAAAATACGGATGGACGATCTTAATCTAAAACATAGTCTCTATGTTTACAAGTAAAACACCACGGAAGGAACATTTAGAACTTTTATTGACAAATTTTACACTTTTATATTCATACAATAAAATGGATGCTTAAGCAATAAATAAAACAATATTTGTTAAAATAAAAGCAGGATAAAAAAATTAATTTATATAATTATGTTTCTCACAGTTAATTACATCGCAGCAAATATAAATTTGCGTTCTCTTCGCAAGAAACTAAAAAATGCTCTTAAAACATAACGATGAAATATATTATTTTCCCACTGTAAAATAAAATTTGGCTTTGAAGAGACAACTTACTTGATTAGTTTCATAAAAATAAAATATAAAAGAAAATTTCGAAAGGGTTATAGCTCACTGTAAGTATTAGAAGAGGCCATTCCAGAGTTCCAAAAACTCTCACTTTCAAAATGAGGCTAAGTGCAAAACCTTTCTTGTGAAATGAGTTTTATTTGATTGAGAATAGAAAATCAATTTCATATTAATAGCTTCACACTTAGCCTCTCTTTGAAACAGAGGCTTGGGGCCACTCGGAAAAGGCCTATAAAAAAAGCAAGGAAGAATCAGTTGACACTCTTACTAAATATATTGTCATATTCATTTCCTAATATTACTAACTGTGGCGAAGAATAAAATAACAATCCTAAAAAGACCATTCTTATTTTCAGCTAAACCGTTCATCTCTTATTATATGGGTTGTAAGATCCAACTGAAGGCAAAGAAAAAGAGATACATCATGCGATATTTAATCCGCTAATGACTCCGTACTATATAAATTATAAAATGTTGCTCTAGAGGCTTTACCAAATTGTTTTTTATGTTTTTTGACCATCCATCTGTGTAGTTAAATCTCTTACTTTCTGCGCCCAGTACTCGCTACTCTGTTGAAGCTGAATCGAAAGCTAAAGAAAATGAGAACATAAAAAAATATTGTATTATTAATGGTCAATGCTGCTTGCTCTGTTTAATAAACAAACGAGGTAAAAAAAATCGAAACAGAAACGAGGCCTTCGTCTGGAGATTGGTCCCTGAAACAATGAAAGGCCACCCCACATAGCGCCTACTCGAAATACGGTACTACCGCTGACCCGTAGAAATTGTCTCGAGGTACGGCAGCACCGAGTCAATTCATTAAGCTGCATTAAAACACGGAAGGAGAGTTCGTTGACTGGCTTTAACATTTGCGTCTGTCTGATAAAATATGACTTGCGCAAAAAGGCGATGTCCGTGCGGTAAACGTATGACCAGTCTTAGCTGGTACGAAATGACTCGAGCTTGCAAATGCGAACTGAAACGTCGCTTCCATCTATTAACAGATACTTAAAGTTCAAAATCAAGTATTCAAGTCTCAAGTGGAAGAGAGCTTATTTTCGCCACCCTTGAAGGCTTTTTTTAAGCTACGTTAGGGGGAGGGCTTGCTCGGTGACACAGCATACCTCACCGACACGTTGTATCCAGTAGGACTTGTCCAGAACCTGAGGATCTTTAACGCCAGCCTTATCCATTTCCTTCCTCATTATGGACCTCACCTTCATAAAAAAGATGAAAAAAAAAAAAAAAAAAAAAACAGTAAGACAATATACTTTATTAAGCATATTCTACCGAAAAACGGAATTATAATTTGCTTACAAAAGTAAATAAAACATAAGATTATAAGCAAGAAGCATACAATCATTAAAAATTTTCCAAATTTACAAAACTTGCGAGAATTACAAGACCTGTCTGTGCTGAAACCTATTTCCATTAAGCTATTATCCTAACAATTACGATTTATTAAGCAATTTTTGTTGCACTAGCGTAAAAACTATCACGGGAACGTTCAGTTCTGTATTTGAATGGCCGTTTAAGTCAAGGATTATAGTAAATTCATTAGTCAGAAATCCGCAAGTGACAATGGTTACACCTGAGTTACTGCTGCCGGACAAGCCCACATAATGATACAGCTACCAAATAAGCATATCGAACTCTAAATGTAATGATGCGTTTTCTGATTCAGAAGCTGTAGTGGCGTCCAACAAAGCAAGCAAAACAAGAAAACTAAGTAGACATTACCTTATCCTTTTGAGCAGACTTTTGCCTGAAAAAAAAGAAACAAAACGCCGTGAGTAAAGGAAAGTCACAGTGGTAAAATTAAATCATTTAATTCTTACTTACAGTCCTTTGTCTAGTGAAAAGTACGCCGAGTCATTCAGTCCATATACATCCATCTGAGGACAAAAAGACATGCCTTACAGTTGAAAAGCTGCAGCTGCCACGCAAATGGCTGTTGTGTGTTCAGTGCCATGGCCTTTGCATAGAAGCGAGGCCGAGGATGACCTTGTTTTGTTACAAAACTGCCCGCTTTTCATATGCAAATCGTGTTATTCTCATGCTAACAAGCCTGTGAACACGATTATTTATACGTGATAAACACAGAGGAAGGATTGTGACAAAACAAGGCCCCTTCGGCCTCGAGTCAATTCAAAGGCCAGGTCACTGAGCACACAACTATAAAAATGGCTTACTTTAACATTGATTGAGTGGCCATTTCTCCTTTCTCCGCGCTATAATCCAAGGCATTTTTGAGACCTGTCATTTTCTGCTCGACAAAAACGCATAATATTACCAAAGCGAGAAAACATGTGTCGCAAGGCTGATGTCACTGTGACACGTACCGACCACTGGTGGGAAAATCAGTGTTCAAAACTGAGGTGTGATCATTTGAAGCGACGATACCTCCTGAAAAGCTGCTCTACTGAGCAAGACTACCAGCAATCTCAGGAGCCTTGAAAGTTAATCGAAATTAAACCCGATCGTTACCGAAGATATTGGTTGTTTACCATTTACAAAACGTCTTTCCGGAAAATCCGGCTGGAAGGTATATGGAACACGAACTTTTGAGTCATTTTTTCGGTCATTCATTCATTCATCATTCATTCTTGTTTTTCCGGAAGGAATGTTCCAGACGGATATTCGTGTTCCATTTCTCCAAAGCTATCTTTGATACCAGTCTAAGGCTTTCGCGGCCTTTTCGCAGTAAATAGAACTGATTCGTAGAAATGGTAAGCGGGATTCCGGGATGAAATGAAACGGTCCTGAATTTTGTTCACCATTGACTGAAACCGCGAACCAACCGGTTTTTCCCTCTACACGGTAAACAGTCTTGGACATCCGGAAATACACGGTAGTGACACAACAGACAGCGACTGGCACTAGTTTTCGCTAGTACTATGTGAAGACAACATTGTACACGTGAGCAGCACGTGCAATAAAAACTAAGATAAGTGATGTGACATGCTACTTACTATGTTGTCTGTATCTCGGTGAGGTAATTCAGCAAACTTATAAGACTCCAGCTGAGATTTGAGCGACATGATCGTTTGATCACGTGTCTCCAGCTGAAGTTGAAGACTCTGATGATAAAAAGGAAATACGAAAACATTTTCTTTCATGGAATTATTAACAGAAAATTCTAGAAGTTTAGGGTAAGGAGTTAGTTGGGAACACAAAACATACAAGCTAAAGAGTCGATTAGCACATCGACGTTGTACACTAACCTTTCTCGCTGTTGCTTCTCTATCGATTATGTGTCTTTGTCGGAGATTTTCTTTATTTAAAGTGTTAAGCTGTCAAAATGGAAAGAAATCATGATGTGTGGGAAAATAACGTTAAAAGAAGGTTGCTACTGCGATGGTTTTGTTTCACTTATCCGAGGAACTCTGAACTGGAAAAGATTTCTTTAAGAACAAAGTTGTAAGTGCGTATAGGCTAATTAAAGATTCAGCGCAAACTGCGACGATATCAAATAAAATATACGAGAAAACAGCTAAGTCTGCGAAACCTCGTTCTTTGTACGAGAGAAGAAACGAAGGTGAAAATGCTTGAGAGAGGTTGGAAAAAACGCGGGAAAAGTCAAGAGTGTTGATGACTTTAAATTTTCTTCCTTTTTTCTGGGAGCATGCTAAATAGTGAACAAATTTGAACTTCATAAAATCGTAGCAGAACGAACCAATAAACAAGAATAAGTAGAATAAACAAAACGCCTGAATAGTCAAAGCGAAGGTCGGTTAATTCCTGGTCGATTAAGGCACATTATTATAAAGTATTTGTTAAAAGCCGAGCCGTACCTGTTGATTGAGTTGTTGAATGCTTTCCACGTTAGTTTTTAATCGGCTGTGAAGTTCTTCTATTGCGTGTGCTTTGCTCATTGCCTCTGTGTTCTGGTCGTTTCTTCAGTGCAAAAAACAATGAGTACAATAACTAGATAAATAAATAATAATTAAAACTGACAAGTTTAAAGCGAATGAACGAGCTTATGGCCGACCCAGCAAGCAAGGAAATTGTACGAGAGTGGAAGACTAATAAAGCGAGCAAGAGAGAAAGTAAGTAAAAAAACTTGTTAATGGCAGACAAGGAAAAAAATCGAATAAAAGCTGAACAACAGCACATTGCCTTAATTTGAAAATATCAACTTGGGAGCCAAAAAAAAATGTGAAGCAATATAAACAAGGCAGAACACAGACTCGAAACTGGTAAAAAACTACATATAACTATTACATGCATAAAATCAAAAGAACTCACTCGTAGTCTTGTAAGCGGTTGCGAAGTTGATGAAGAAGCACTTGTTGCTGAGCTGAATGCGACTGCAAAGCCTGAGGATTTAAACAAGTAAAAAATAACCTACATACGTTTATCAACTTCCACAAAGCTAGCCGCGGTAGTGCAAACTCAGGACTGTAAAAAAAGCGGTTAAATGCAATAAATCTCTTTAAAGTGCGCAAGCATCAGCTCTTTCCCTTACATGAGGAAATCTGTATAATTAACAGTTATTGGATGAGGTTGAGTATCATCTGAAGAATTATGGAGATCTCGGAGGGTGTTATCCGCCGAGGCCAATTACACCCTCCGAGATATCTTCAGATGATGTTCAGCCTCACCAATAATTGTCAAGTATACTATCCATTTATAATTATTTTAACTTTTTTTATGCTAAACTACAACCTGAAATCATGAGCTTAGCGACTCAGGAAGTAAAAACGAAAGCGAATGAAAAGACTATTATTTTTTCTCACACACCGAGTGGGCGTCAGGTCGAGACTCCAAGTTAAGAGTTCATAAGAGTGAAGTGGGATTCTTCTTGTTTATAGCGAAAGTTAAGAAGAGAAATGAAAAAAATAAGAAGAAAAAAAGAATTTGCCATTTCAACTTACATGCGAAAACGCAGGGCAAAGCCCCTGACAATTGAGACAAGCGTAACTGAGTTGATGCTCAAAACGTACGTAGCACGAACAGTTATGAAGAGGATTGGTGCAACCTCCGCGAATTTTTCCAAAGCCGTCCAAGTTTGTTAAGGAGCCGAGGAGAGGCGTGCCGATACACAGAAGAACTGAACTGTCTCCACTGTGCACGGAGTCCGAATCACCACACTCCGACATCTTGGAATGTAAAATTGCAAAGAATTCTTTTCTTTTTCAAAAACGCACCTGTTTCAAAATCTTTTGGCAAGGAAAGTTTGGAAACTTTAGATGGCAGCGAACTTTTTAGATATACAAATGTAAAAAATGTTTCCGAAAATACGTAGTCTGGAATTGTGTAGAGCACTGTACGAAAGCAATAATCTTGCACCTATGTTATCGCTTGTAGAGAAGGATATGTTCTGTCCGTTAATTAATACGAGTGGCCGTTGTCACGCACAATTTCCCCACATCCATGCAACTAACAAGCTACAATAGTTTTAAAAAATAATTATCATCTGTCATTAAACAAAAACTGAGACGCTTAAATGTTTAATGTTTAAATCAAGCGGTCCGCGTTAATGAGATTGTATAGGCGTTTATTAAGTTAAAATGAATTTGACCAAACATAAAATTACGGCGTGCAGGTGGACAGGCTTTAAACTATGAAAAAAACGGGTTTTTGACGGAAATACATTCCACGTTTCCATGTACTTTTCGTTTATTTGTCATCTGAAAAACGTCGTATCATCAGTTTTTTTCACTAGGAAAATCAAAGAATCTCTGAGATAATTTGATGTTAATTATCTTCTAGTTGATTGGAGTGTAAATCAAAAAATTTGCAATGCGTTTTAAAGCGCCGTAAATAAAAACTTAAATGTTCTAAAAGATTCTTCAGCATACGCGATAATTTCTTTTTGACAGAAAACAAAATAACTATGTATTGATAATAATCTGAAAGACCGTTAACCACATATTATAATGATAATGTATCATGAGTAGTAACAAAATATCATACGCGTCGAAAGAATAATAGGATACCTACATGCTATTAAATTGAATTGTCTTTGCAACAATGAAGTTTATATGTAGCATTATTACATCAGAGGAACTATTAGAAGTAGGAGGCTAGGTCTGTATAATTATCTGTCCTTGCATACCTGTTCCTTACGTGGGTACGCTTGACTTGACATGACTTACGCTTTGCAAAATTCAGAACTGGCCGGCCGGACCATGGCCGGACCGGTCATTTGGAAATGAAATACGCTTTTTCCAAGAGTTCTTGATGAAAAAAGATTTTATTCGTGCGTACTATTTAGGATTTGACTGATCTGGCTGGATAGCTTTGATAAAAAGTGAAATTCTCATTACGAGGGGAATGGCCTGCCCGGTCAGTTCTGACAAATGGAAAGCGCCCTTGGCTTAAGTGTAAGTTGGTAGAGGAAAACTTTTAAATGGAGTACCTCAATAGTATCCCACAATCCTCTAGCCGAGGTAACTAAATCCGCAGTAAACTCTTAATTATAAGGAGATCCAATGAAGGGAGAATATGACAGTGCTGAGAAAAAAGTAAGTTAAAACTTACCTTGAGTCGCTCACTATCCATTCTTCGTTCCTCTGTAAAAATTTAACCAAATAAAGACGTCGTCAAATGAGGTTCCCTTCTATTTTCACTTTCAGTAACTTAATGAAAACAACAATGAAAGTGACAAGAGTCTAGGTGTTGCCGAAACACTAAGTAATTTTTTTACTTACCTAGTTCTGTTTTAATAACAGTGTTTTCTTTCTTTACAGTCCCTGCTGATTCTTCAAGGCGTCTAATTGGAGGAAAACAAAACTTTTTAGTTACCACTTTGTATAAAGCGACTTCATTATTTACAGAACGTTTTTCCTGCAGTTACGACAGCAAAGTAATGTTCATTAAGTATTACGACAAAATATTGTTCAATCGAATCGCACTAAATCTGATGAACATGATTTGATGACATGACACGAATTGTAGGAAGGTGCAGTTGGTCCAGAAAAATTCATCGTAGAAACGCTCACTATTGAAAGGGAAAAAACACAAAAAAAAAGGTAAACATGTTTAGGGCGGCAAAAGTTAGGAAACATGATAGGATTTAAAACGTTTCAACAAAGAACAATTCGATTTCTGAACTGCCTGTTCTTTCTTCTTAGAGCATTCTTCTCTAGAGCATCGTTATGTCCAGTTAGTTGCATACTTGATAAGATTTGATTGTTTATCAAAATTTCGAAGCAAAACAAAACGAAAGGTACGTACTCCTTTTCTGATTGAAGGGCTGTAATTCGCGCATCTTGCTCTCTATGAAAAAAAGTAAGAATTTTCAGTCTCGCATATCCAAATGTACCTGGAATAATGTTCTCAACTTTTCTTCATAACAGATCACGTTTGATGATCAATCAATCGATCAATCAATCAATCAATCAATCAATTAACCTTTCAATCAATCAATCAATCAATCAATCTGTCACTCACTCAATCAATCAATCAATCAGTCCATCAGTCAATCAATCAATCAATCAATCAATCAGTCGGTCAATCAATCAATCAATCAATCAATCAATCAATCAGTCGGTCGATCAGTCAATAGGCCATTTTACAGTTATAGATAGAAACGAGGCTGGAGTTGACCTTGTTTTAATACAACCGTTGCTTCTATCTCAAAAAAATAATGTTCTTATGCTTACTAGTATTTTTCAAGCATGATTTGCATAAGAAAACAAAGGTTTGTATCAAAACAAGGTCAACCTCAGCCTCACATTCACTCGAAGGCTAGGTTACTAAGCTCTCTACTGTAAAATGGTCTATAGATCGTTTGAAAGGTCAACTATACCTATCTACAACTGAAAGTTACATACCTTAATCTGGTAGCAAGCCTTTCGTTTCCCTGCCTAAAAATGACATGAAAACAGTGTTAATCAGCAAATGGCATTCTAACCAACTTTGAAATCACAATAATCAGCTGATAATACTCACTTTTGCTCTTTCACCCAGCTGTTCACGTTCTCTACAACAAGTTCACTTTCTCGATGCAGCCGATCGCCATTGGCACGAGCGTCCTCCAAAGATATACGAAGAGTTTGGACCTAACATGTATTAAAGGAGACAAAATTATCAACGAGATCATCGTTGAATCAAGTATCGATTCCTCTCATTCGGAAGCAAGAGCTGATTTCTGAAGTGCTCGTTATTGCCATTCTGGTGCGAGGTCATTGCAACAACCTCTCACAAAATTTTATCAATGGGATGTGGTGCAAAAAGACATGTTTCGCGCGGTAGGGTCTTTTTTCAGGATGGCGTATACCTCCAAATTTGTACCTGCTGCTAGGAGCATGTTTCTTTTTTATATATGTACTGCTTGCAATCGGTTCGGCGATTCCTAAAGATGATTGCACCCAAAGTTCTTTTGGGAGTAAGATTTTGTTTTGGGGTGGGTCAATTACTTTATTTATATTGCTCTGCCGAGAACACCGCTGGAGATGGGGTAGAGACGTATTACACAAACTTACACACAAATCTATTTCTACGCACCTCTTCAAGACAACTTTGATGTTGTTGGCGAGAGATGATAAGTTCCTGCTTCAGTTTCTCATTCTAAAAAGCAAATAACAACTTTACTGTAGCTCTACGCTGACAATAGACAGATTTTTTATTCGTTTACTGCGGTGATTGACATCTACAGATTATGTATAGCTTACGACGGTGACGGCAATGGGAACGTCAAAAAAAAGTTTAAATAGGCAAAACAACAACTCTGCATGTGCATCAACACTTTTATGCCGACACTACGCCAGTACGAGGTTAGCCTTGAGCATATGACGTTTAAAATAGGACTTAAACAGCCAACACGTGCAGAGTCTTCTTTTCGAGAGTCAAAGAAAGACTGTAGAGTGCCAGGGAGGTGTGGCTGGGAAACTGCCCATAACGAGGAATATTCATAATAATTATTAGCGCGTTTTTACTTAGTGTAAAAGCGAACTTGTTTTGCGTGGTTGGCTTATAGAACGAGGAATATTCATAATAATTATTAGCGCGTTTTTACTTAGTGTAAAAGCGAACTTGTTTTGCATGGTACGTTGGCTTATAGAACGAGGAATATTCATAATAATTATTAGCGCGTTTTTACTTGGTGTAAAAGCGAACTTGTTTCGTGTGGTTGGCTGATAGAACGAGGAATATTCATAATAATTAGCGCGTTTTTACTTGGTGTAAAAACGAACTTGTTTTGCGTGGTTGTCTTATAGAACGAGGAATATTCATTATTATTAGCACGTTTTTACTTGGTGTAAAAGCGAACTTGTTTTGCATGGTTGGCTTATAGAACGAGGAATATTCATAAGAATCATAGCGCGCTTTTACTTGGTGTAAAAGCGAACTTGTTTTGCGTGATTGGGATATAGAACGAGGAATATTCATATAAGAATTATAGCGCGCTTTTACTTGATGTAAAAGCGAACTTGTTTTGCGTGGTTTTCTTATAGAACGAGGAACGTTCATAATAATTATTAGCGCGTTTTCACTTGGTGTAAAAGTGAACTTGTTTTGCACCAATAGAACCATTGGAATGGCATCATTTTCCATTGGTACCAATTGCACCATTGGTACCAATGGACCATCGGAATTGCCCTGTACCCAACCAGGTCACATGGGAAAATAATCTAAGTCCCCTTAATGAGATGTATATTCACCAATAGAACCATTGGAATAGGGTGCTTTTCCATTGGTACCAATCGTACCATTGGTACCAATGGACCATTGGAATTGCCCTGTACCCAACCGGGTCACATGGGAAAATAATCTAAGTCCCCTTAATTAGATGCACATGCACCAACGGAACCATTGGAATAGGGTGCTTTTCTATTGGTACCAATCGAACCATTGGTACCAACGGACCATCAGTTTGACGAATCGTATCCGTTTGTGTATATTGGACATGTGTGCCTCCTCTAAGCCAATTTTTTTTTTTAGGCAAGAAGTTATTGCAGTTGACTTTAGTTTAAGGGACAGGTAGGTGGGGAGTTGCCCATAATCTTATACTGATCCTATACCGAGAAAGTGGACTGTGTTAATGACTTTGAGAAATGCAACAGGAAAAAAAAGACATATTAGACACTTCACAAATACCTCTTCTTGTATAAGCCGATGTTTTTCCTGCAAAGTCGCCAGTTCGACTTTAAGAACAACTAACTGCTCGTCTCTCCTTGTCGCGTCTTGAGCTTGTTTACGAAGTTTGTCTTGAGAAAGGCCTAACTGACTTTTAAGTTCGTCCATGTTCCTGGAATATTGTTGAATCTGAAAGAAGTAACAAGGCGAAACGAAGAAAAAAAAATGAATAAACAAATACTGAATAGATGGAAGGAAAGTGGAGTGAATGACGTCAACGAACAAAGAGACCTTTAGATTCTCAGACGAGACGACTACGAGTACGACATTTTCTCAATACTAAGTAGTGCTCGCGTGTGAACGGTGTGAGCCAACATCATTTTGGCGGGAAAACGTGATAGTCGGCGTCATTCTACTACGAGTTTTGGTGGAAGAAACAAGTTATCAAATGTTTCATCATTTTGCGACGGGGAGAGGTCTTACCCTTCTTCAGTAAGGATAGCGCTGCTAACTTTTCTAGTAATGAAAAAAACAAAACAAAACAAAAAATAACACTGAAGCTTTCCGGCGTGTTTGTTTTTTGAGAAAACGCAAAAAAACTTTAGATTCAAGGAGAAAGACAACTACGCAGACGAGATGTGAGTTAAAGGTCTCTATTAACAAACAAGACTCGATATCTTAGTTTCTTCCAACTTACTTCCCCTTCTGAATATTTTGTTTTGTCCTGAGCCCTTTTAAGATCCGTCTTTAACTTTCTGACTTTCTCCTCCAGCGCTAAAATCTATGAAACGGAGAGAAAGGAAAGCAAGTAAACATTGTTAAATGTGCAGCTGAAGCGATGAATAGAAGAATAAGACACGGATTTTGTAGACTGGCCTTACGATAAAGTCTGCCCAAAATTAGACAGTGTGCCCGACGGGCAAGCTAAGAAAAATTTTTAGGGAGAATTCAAGTTACAGAAGAACTGTAATAAATGCTCATCAATTTTTTGGGCTAGTTGAAATTTAAACTAGTACATGCGAGCTACAGCTTGCCAGAATGACAAGTCTATTAAAGGGGCTGTGTCACGGCAGCCCAGTTCATTTTGTTTAATTTTGCCAATTACTCGACCTCAATCGCTATGGAACTTAGCGACAATGACAAAACAGGCAAACAAATATGTCTCCTGAGGATTATTTCTTAAGTTGCAAGCAGCAGGGATCAACTTTGAAAAACTGTTAGGCTGAACAGTTTTCAAAAACCGTAATTTCAATCCGTTTCAATCTTCTTCAGTTTTCCCATCCGTGGCATCTGTTGTTTCTGTTGTGTTATTTTAACCTTCCTTTAATGTTTTAAGCGGTTATTTTTACGTTTCTCTTAATTAAACGGGCATTTTGTAATTACCTAATTTGGCTGAATTTCGTGACACAGCTCCTTTAACTAACTTTCTTTTCATCCTCATTGGAGCAAATTCTGAGCCTCGACGTAACACCAAATCCAATGTTACAAAAAAGCATGGATTTAATTACTTGATTGGTTTAGAAATCAAAATGACAGAAATGAATCAAACCACCTTACTATATGACATTGCGCTTTACAAAGGCGATCTCTTCAAGAGCCTCCTAAACAGTGCTCCAGTTATAGTCATACCTGTTCTTCCATAGCCTGGTTCTGTTGTTTTGTGGTTGCTAACTCCATCTTGGTATTTGCCAGGCTTTTAGAGCGCTGAGACAACTGAGATAAAGAGAGAAGAGTCAAAAAGCAAAAAACAAGAACGCAGAGGCTAGAAAACAAAACAAAAACAAAAGACCTTATCACGGTTTTGGAAGCCATCTTGTCGCTAGGAAACCGCGTGCGAAATTATATTGTTTGTATGAGAATTTAATGTCGTGTAATTTTCGTAAAATGGCTGTTCTGAAGAAAGTAGAAACTGTAAACTAAAGCTGTACAGCAAAGGATTCTACCAACAAATCTTGGGGCCGTACCTGTGCTTAGATTTGTCCAGTCACTTGCTTTAGATTTTCTCTCTGGAATTATTTCCCGGGAAAGTTTAGTCGGCAGGAAAAAAAATTACACAAAATGTATAGAAAATTTTAAAATGTGGTTCTAGCGCAGGTAACGCGCCGAAGTTTATCAATAGAATCCTTAGGAATGAAGCTTTAGTTTACAATTCATATTTCTTTCAGAACAGCTCTTTTACGAAAATTATTCGACATTAGATTCTCAAACAAATACTGCAATTTTCTCACGCGGTTGCGTACCCGTCACGATGGCTTCCAAAACCGTGATTACGTCCGTATACCAAAAACAAAAACACAACACAACAACAACTACAGTCAAACATCTCTACAACGGCCACCTTGGGGACAGAAGAAAGTGGCCATTGTAGAGAAACAAAAAAGAACTTCAGCTTAAGTCTCTAAGTGCTTTTATACTCTTAAATGGCTAAACTTTTCTACCACATTTTCTTAGTATTATCTTCAGGAAAACAAAAAAACTCGGCAGTTAATAACCTGATCCATGGCTTCTTTGTGATTTCCATTGGCACCGGCCAACTGCACTTTCAGATTCTGTACGTTCTTTTCGAGGTTTCCAATCTGCGAAAGGGCAGAATTGAGTTACAACAAGAAAAAATGAGTGGGAATTGACATTCAAATACCCACTAAATGCTTGGGTTAAAATCTTCAACCCAGGTTGTCACTCAGGGTTATAGACGGTTTCATACGAAAATAAAGAAAATGTATACCGCCTTCACAAACTCGGATCCAGAAAATAACAAACAAACAAACAAACAAACACAAAAACAACAACGACAACAAAGACGGACGCAGAGCACGTACCACACCGGTATAAGAGAAGTTAAAAGTTGTAATTAAACAGAAGAATACTTCCGGAGACGTGCGCAAATTTTAATTGATTGTTTGACAAGTTATCAAGTCCATGCGCGATTGTCTCTAAGTAAACAATGCAGAATATTTTAATGGCGACTGTTGAATTCTCTCTTGACAACACTCGACAAAAATTTGCGGACCTGTCTAGAAACCAACTTCCGATTTATTTCAAGCGATTAATTGGTCTAAAAATAGTTTTGGTGAAATTCAAATATCCCGAGGGCTAGCCTGGGCGTTGCCCTCTCTATCCCTTATTCTTTCTGACCAAACGTAACATAAAAAAAAGTATGGTAACCCTACGACACTTCGCATAAAACCAGAAAAGCTTAACATACCTGTACGGTGGCGTTTCTGTGATTTTCTTGTGCTCTTTCTAAATCTTTCTGAAATTGATGAAGGGTCTCCTCGTAACGTTTTACCTGAGCAAGAATGAAGTACGAGTCAGATAGCATCTAAAACTAAATGGCCTAGCAGTCATTTGACAATAAGTAAGTAATCTGTGCACGTTACCTCATTTGAATGGTTTTTAATTTTCTTCTGCGCCGAGTTCAAGTCTGTTCTAAGAACCCGGATGTCCGCATCTCGCGCTGCAATCTGGGATATAAAAAGGGTATTCTTAGCATGGGATTACAATGTTAAAAATTAAAAAATTTCAGTTTTTTGTTCTGAAGAAAAACAATTAACGAAGGAAATAAATGGAACACATATATACACTACCTCTTCCATAATGTTCTTATTTTTCTCTAGCACTCCACCAAGCTCCTCCCTTAGCTGACCATTAGATTTTTCTTTATCCCGAATCTAAAAAAAGTGTCGATAATAGGGAGCTTAAGCAACAACGGCGGCGGCGGCTACGAAAACGTCACAAAAGTGAAGTCGAACTGTTTCAAACTTAATCGCACTTATTCCATCTTGTTCAATTCGTCAAACGTTGACAATTTTTTTCTGGAGTGGAATTCTAACACCCTGCCGTCGAAGTCCAGGAAAAGAAAAAGAAAGTCATTATCTTGCGTTCACGTCCTCCACGTGAAATTAGGCATTTCCACATTGTAGTCGTGCAGTGACGGGAAAGAAATGTACAAAAAGAATTTTGTCAATCTAATCCTATTGATTTTTTGCCGTTCTCGTTGAGGTCGCCGTCGTCGTTGCTTAATCTCCCTAATGACAGTGGTCATCTACTCTATCTTAACATATTGAGTACAGTGACCCTTTCAGGACAATAGATCATTTTACAGTTGTGGGTTTTGTACCCCAGGTTTCGTGTTGGGTTGTGATTGACCATGTTTTGATACACATTTTTTTCTTTTCTTTTGGAAATTATGCTTGAAAAATAATAGTTAGCAATAGAACCACATAATTTACATACAAAGTAGGGAGGGTTGTATAAAAACAAGGTCAAATCTAGCCTTGTTTCCATCTAAAACTGCTAAATGGAATATTGTGGTTAAAGTTGACTGCCGAAAGGATTTTCTTAAATTCCGAGTTTGGCGGACTGGCCTCTGCAGTTTTCTGAACCAATCACAGGTAAAACCAACACCTATCACGACTAAGTCTTATGTGTTTTTCTACGCTTATGCTCGAATCATGTAATTAAATGCAGGGAGTTTGGCTGGTTTCTTGGATTCCCTGACTGTAATTTTGGTTGTGCGACACTTCCTCAAGACCTTCGTTGTACTGGCGCAAACAGGCATAGTGCAACCATTGCCATTGCTCGTACTCACCGTGGACTTGAGATCTTCATGTTGTTCGATGTAAGACGAGATTTTACTTTCTTGCTCTTCCATTACACTTTGACAATGGCGAATCTATCCAAGTAGAAACACTTACGTAAATACATGGCCTTATAGATTCAGTGAGAAAGTAATTTAATGATTTTTTATGAGGAGATCTGGTCATGCGAGTTGACTGAAGTGGACATGAATATTCAATGAGTTTGCCAACAAAATTATCATCATCATCATCATCAGCAGCGTCATATGATCATGATCATCATGATGATGATGATGATGATGATGATGATGATCATCATCATCATCATCATTAAGCTTAAAGCTGATGTGGACCTGCTACATCACACAAACACAGACGCATACAATGTTTTCTTAAGGTTGATCACACTACCGGGGTCTATGTTCCCTACCCTTTACAAACAGCAGTGCGGGTCCTTTTACATCTCACAAGAATCAGAGCTATGAAAGAGCTGACACAACAAAGTTTGTTTTGCTTAGTGTATTTGCTGTTTTAGAGACGATTTCCCCAAAAACTATGGGCAAAACCACTGCCCAAGGATGCAAAAAGTACACTTCCAGTTGACTTGCATCGCTTAACAACGTCTCAGCTTGAGCTCCCTAGTATCCAAACTACAACACAATTGCGGCCATTATAGGCTGCGCAAGAGACTTCGTCGGTGTTGTGTTCCATTGCACTGTGGTACTTTGGGGACAAATTTTGCCCCATTTTCTGCACAAGCTCGCAATTCGCCACTTTAGAAACGTAACGGAGACTGGGGCTAGTCAACTTTCGGAAAGACTTCCGGGACTTTTACTGGAGACGCACGTCAACCGGAAGTGAGGACTTTTCCCTCTTAATATGCCTTGACGCCACGAAATTTGTATTGCTTAGTTTCTTTACACTCGTAGAGACGATTTAGCTGAAAATTTTGGCAAAACCGCGACACAGGAATGTAAAAAGTTCACTTCCGGTTGACGTGCATCGCTCAAAAACGCCTTTGCTTAAGTTCCCTATTAGCTACCTGCGCGCCCAGTTACGATCCCAGAAGTCTTTTACGTTCCCTTTCATTTCCAAAGCAACGAATAGCACAAGCACAACTTTAAAACGGTCAATAGCTAACTGCTAATTAACCATATTTTCTACAGTTTCTCTG